CAGTATAAAGGAATGTATTTTTGTCTGTTAAGGCAGTTCTGGTGAGGGACCTCTGTGAGGAGGGTCATCTTCAGTGTTTTTGTTGATGTTATTTTGATTTATGATTATTTTCCTAAAGTCAATAAAAAAGTTGAATTGACTGCAAGCAGTGTCTCCTGCCTTCGTTCTGGTCGTGTCCCGAAAGCCATGAAAACAAACTGCTTGTATGATCAATTTATTTTTAGACATTTTTTATTTAATTTTAATTCATTTTAATTTTATTTTTCCATACATATCCAGACCTGGAAATTACTTAAACCAAATTCAAAACATTTCCAAACTGCATGGGAACCCTCAACATAACAGTTTATTTTCATCAGTTATCTGTCTATGGGTCGTTACATTACTGTACATTTTCAGTAATGTTACATTTCTGTTAGTTTTAAATCAGATACAGATAAATTCGAAGAGGAAAATTACATTTATTTGAATGCATTAGTGAGAGATAAATTGCGTGTTTGTAATTTGTCATGCCAGTCTGTGCAGCATCTCTTTACCAATAGTGAAGCTATTGTATGTAGCATTTATTTGTCATTTTAACTGACGGAAACGGAGTAAAGAGTGAACTTCAAAGATGTCTTATCCTGAAACCTCCTCTAGTGGACAGGACCTCTATTACATCCTTCGGAAAAGATATAGCAAAGCAAGTCAAAACAGTCTGAGCTGAGTTTGGTGCTTGTAGCATTAAAGCTCTATAAGTAGCAGTCAAAAAGGGACAGAAAATGAGAAAGATTTGAGCTGTGCTTTTACGGGGTTTGAGCAAGCGGGGGTGGAGAGTAAGAGCTGGCCGGGACTGCATCTGCCGCGAGGCCCAGGCTTGCTGAAGGCCTGCTGCGCCAGCCTAATGCCGGACGAAGGCCCGTTCCATCGCCCGAGATGCGAGCTTGGGGCTCGATTGGCCTTATTGTCCATTTCTCTATGGCACGGAAAGATTGAATGGGCAGGAGTAGAGAAAGCTGAAGGAAGGACATGGCGGATGTTTCACCCACAGTGGCGAGGGTATGCTTTGGCGTCTTGGTGTGCGGGGAGTCATTTGGTTGGGCTGAAGTCCCAGAGATAATTATATATATTCCTCGAAGACGACAGATTCTTCATTGGATGGGAAGAGCTGGATTTTGGACATGTTGGCATTCGTCGCTTCAGCCGAATTAACCTGAAATGGGGTGAGATGGAGGGTGTACGACGCGTGTCCAGCAGCTCTTGTAGAAAGGAAAGTACCAGCGGTACTTCACATGAAGTAGGGTCTTGGCTCCGTGCTGAGCGCCATTTGGAGAAAACAGACCACTTAAGGCCGTAGAGGCATCTTGTCGACGGAGCTCTAGCCTTAGATATAGTGTTTAGGACTCTCGCTGGGAGGTCTGTAAGTTCCCGATGATGGGCTACACATGCAGGGCCCACTACTCGAGCTGGGAATGCTAGATTGGTAGATGGGAAAGGAGGTCTTTCCTCAGGGGTATTGGCCATGGGGCTGTTGCTAGCGGCTGAATCAACTCAGGGAACCAAGGCTGTGCGTCTGTCCTCTCTGATCCTTTTAAAGTGTAAATTGCAGGTTAACCACCACAACCAATTAATGTGTAAATTAAAGTGCTCAATGTGTACATATGTAAAAATGTCTGTCTTAAAATGCGTTAAAATAACATTTATTGGGGTTTCTTCAAAGGTAGCATGTTTTTTACCGTAACTGGGTGATGACGTCATAAGAGGGAGCGCGGGCGGTAATGCACCCACTCTGTGTGTGCCGGTTGAGGGAGAATAAAACGATTCTTTTTAGGAATTATTATGGGAGCGCACTTTGCGCGCAGTCATGCCAAACCATGCACGCAGTAGCCCGCTTGCTTTTATGTTATAACAGTGATCAGGAGCATGTATGCTGATGTGTATGGTGGCGACACGTAGGCTAACTTGAAAGTATTTGGAGGTACAGAAAAAAAGTCTTTTTGCGGGTGGGAGCGGGACAAAACATAAATGTTGCGGACGGAAGAAAGTAATATAGAAAGTAGTTGATAACGTCAGTTATAACGACCCACGTATTAAAAAATAGTCGGGTTTAAACTGGGCTCGGGCTCATAATTGCAGTTAATGTCTCGGGCAGGGCCGGACCGGGCTCGGACACAGCGGGCTCGGGTAGGGTCTTGCTTGATTTTTTTGGGCCCGATCTAAGCTCTACCTCGGGTCACTTACAGGCACGAATCAGCCGTTTGTCCTTGGGGAACTTGTGGAGCCTCTCCCCCGATTTTTGATGTATTCGTACATCCCGCACAAACACAATAGTTAACCATTTTTGCTAGCTAGGTCTCCAATAACGTAACTCCAGGCCTGGAGCATAGACAGTAAAAGCTTGGAGTACCTTTTATGACGTCATGCTTAAAACCACTGTAAAACGGACCAACTTTTCATATTATATTCAGCATTTTGGTATAAAAAACATAAAAAAAACAATGGTGGGTGGTTCTTATCTTTATGTTTAGTAAGCACATTGCATTATCTTCGTGAAAATTTTTACCTGCAATTTACACTTTAATGACCTGAGGGAGGAGCGCGACTGAGGGAAAAGTGTAAAAGGGAAGGCTGGGCCATTTGTGGGCCAGTGCATCCCGGCTCTTCAAAAAGAATATTGGGCAGTGAGAGTTGTCTTCGGAGGCAAAGAGGTCGACCTCTGCCCTGCCGAAAATACTCCAAATTATTTGAACCGTTTGGGGATGGAGAACCCATTCCCCGGGGACACAATGTTTCGGGACAGCACCTCTGCTCCCTGGTTCAGTGTGCCCGGCACGTGCGTCGTAGGTTGCGTTGTGCCCAAAAGAGGAGACGTCTGGATAGCCCACCCTGGTGGTTTATATAGGATTCTACCGCCATGTTGTCTGACCGGACTAAGAAGTTGTGTCCTATTACTGTAGATCTGGCAGGAAGGTTTGAGGGCCAGAAAAAACGGCATCATTTCAAGGGAGTTTATATGCAGCCGCTTTTCCGGAAGTAGCTGAACAGTCGGAGAAACGCTAATTAAATGTCGGTTTCACTCACTGATTTCGGCCCTCCAAAACCATCTCGGCCCGAAACCAAAAACAGCTGTTTCAGCCAAAAGTTTTCAGTAACCGAAATTTTGGTGCATCCCTTATTTATATATATTTTTTTTTTCCCAAAAAGAATAGCAATACCCCCACTTTAATTAGAGCCATGACTAAAGAAAATTTTCCCTCCCACCACATTCTCCAGTCTATCTCATCTATCTCTCTCATCACTATGGGTTTCTTGTAAAAAAAATAATAATATTAATGTTTTTGGTATGGATACATTTAGATAAGACTGTCACTCCTTTTGTTTTTGTCCCTCCATCCATTTAGTCCCTATTTTAAACTCTCTGTGTAAAGAGGGAAAAGAAAGAAGAAAAAATAGGAAGACAGAAGTGAAAACCAATTTAAGATAGAAGAGAAGAATCACCCTTTGTGACATTAAACATTGGATATTACTAGTCCTTTATTTGGACATTTTCCTCTCCTTAATTTTGTTACAATTTTCTTTACTCTAAACCTTTTTCTTCTGCAAAGTTCATCAAAACCTACTGTTTTCTGTATTTTCATTACTAAAATTAAGAATTTGTCAACATCTGGGAAAAACTCTCTCACTTAAAGGGGTCATATAATGGTACATGCACTTTTACAAGTTGATTGTACTGAAATGTGTGTTGGCAGTGCCTGTACACAACCATCATATAATGATAAAAATCCATCCAGTGTTTTTGTTTTAATCTCCGTATATGTTTTCCCCTGCCTCAAATCGAGCCGTTCGAGCCTGTGACGTCACAAGCTCGCACGCCCCTCCCACGATTGTTGATTGACAGCAGCGTTTCAACACAGACCCGCCCTCGCACATGAGGTAGCTGTCAATCATAGTCTGCGCGGCGCGGACCGGACCGGCGCGGTCATTGTTGATATGCTGGAGCACTGTCTATGAGCAGAATGGCGTCTAAGCGATTGTGGTGTTCTGTTCTTGGGTGTAATAACGAACACAGTCATTTTAATGTTCCTAAATCCGAACCGCCGAAGACGCAGTGGCTGAGTTTGTTTTCGAAGGGAATATTCCCCACGAGCAACGTCAATGCTTTCATGTTTGCGCGAATCATTTCTCACCAGACTGCTTTATAAACGAGGGTCAGTATAAAGCTGGATTTGCTAAGAAGCTGCTCCTGAATAAAGGATCGGTACCAGCTATTCGTGTTCCTGCTGAACCTCCAGAAGAACTGAAGTGAGTGTAACGTTTTATTAAACTTTATATTAATATATTAATCTTTGCAAATCGCTAGCTGCACGCTTCACAATGAATGCGTCTTAGGTTTACACTCAGGGTACATTATGGCATGTTTTCTATGTACGACGTTCTCAATATAATTCATAATCCCCCGTTTATAATGAACAACGTGTTATGGTTATTGTGTTATTGAGTTACAAACGGTGTACGCACAGAACAGAGAGGCGGGGTGAGCAAAGCTCATTATCATTTAAAGGCATATGCACTGAAACAGCGTGCTGAAAACAGAGCTGTTTTTGACCAGGTAAAATAAGTGTTTTCTTACAATACTAATGAGAATTTTTAATTAAAGTATATTACAAACTTTTAATTTAGACCCTAATGAATCTTATTAGCTTGTACAAAAATGGCATTATATGACCCCTTTAAAATATTGTGCCAAAAGTTTCATCCAGAAAATCATTGATTTCTTTTGCAGTGTACAGCTGTTCATCTTTACACTAGAAGGATATCTGACATATCATCATCTTCACCTCTTTCCTCCATTCCATGACCAATTCCCTCTTCCTCTGTCTGTGAAAGAAAAAAGCGATCATCGCTTTTATCACCAATACTAGCTGTTTCAAAAGTACAAATGACTTCAGATTTCCCCTTCAACACTCTTTTCATCATTTTCCTGATCTACTTCACTTACTCCCTGTATTTCTGTTCATCAGGGAAAGGACCCGGAAGAGGCGGATGAGGTGGTCGTTGTTATTGAAAAGGGTTTCATGGACGAGTTCTTTGAGCAGGTTTGCATATTTACATTGCCTATTTACTAATGAAATCCACTGAAAATCCTCAAACTTATCCAGACTATCAGGGCTAGGTTTGAAAGAAAGAGAGTTGAGGTGAGGCACTATTCGCAAACGGCCTTGGTCTTTTGCATTTACTAACTAACTTACTAACTAACTAACTAAAGGGACTCAGGAGAAACGAGGGGTATCCAGAAAGCAGGCTATGTGACTTACCTGGGTAAGCTAACCTTAATTAGCTAATACCCCCCTGGGAAGACGAACAGGAACACAAACCAACATAATACACAACGAGAACATACAAAGAACTGAACCAAACAACAGGCTAAATGAGGAATAAAACAAATCAACCAATGAGTAACTGTAATGATGGCACAGATACTGAGGAATCCATTTGCAGCTTTAATGAGAATGGTCAAACAGGCAGGGTAATCGACAGCAGACAGAAGCAGCGAAGGTAACACAGAGAAGGTCGAGGTCACAGGCAATAGTCAAGGCAGGCAGAAGTATACAAATCCAAAGGGCAATCCGGGTCGAGACAGGCAGAGAACAGTCAGAGGTCGGGGTACACAATCCAAGATCAGAACACAGAATGGCAAACTCAGAAATAAACGCTTGTTATTGAAAGACAGGGCAATACAATACTTCGCAGAGAAGTGGTGTGTGGAAGTGGCTTTTATGTGTGTGTAAATGACATGCAGGTGTGTGTGCAATCAGTATGGTGCAGGTGTGTCGCGTAATCAGTCCCAGGTAAGCGGCATGATGGGAAGTGAAGTTTCTAAGGATGGTTAATATTCCGGGGAAGGATCCCTCCGGTGGCGAAGAGGGAGTGGAGCGGAAGCCTGTTCCGTTACAGAGCCCTCCCCCTGCGAGCGGCTCCTGACGCGAGGAGGCAAATGACGCCGGGGTCTTCCACGAGATCGAGGGGCCGGTTTTTCCGGATGCGTCCGGTGAAACTCCTCAGTTAGAGTGGAGTCAAGGATATCTCCAGAATTAACCCAGGATCGCTCCTCCGGACCGAACCCCTCCCAATCAGCCAGATACTGAAGGACCTTGCCCCGGCGCCTGGAGTCCAGCAACTTGTGCACGCGGTACGCCTCCTCGCCGTCAACCAGGAAAGGTAGGGGATTTTGAGGCGTGGCTCCCGTCTCCGACTCTCCTCTCGGACCACCGGCAGGTTTCAGAAGTGACACATGGAAGGTGGGAGAGATGCGATAATTAGTGGGAAGATCTAATCGAAATGATACTGGTGAAATCTGTCTTACAATTTGAAATGGACCAACATACCTGGGACTGAGTTTGCGGCATGGAAGGCGGAGTCTTAGATCTCTGGTGGATAGCCAAACCCACTGACCGATGTTGTACTCAGGGCCTGGACGGCGGTGGCGGTTAGCTTGCTGCTCCTGTCGTCTGACAGCGTGGAGCAGGTGAGTGTGAGCCTGATCCCAAACCTCCTCGCTCTTGTGTAGCCACTCCGTAACAGATGGTAGTTCAGTAGGTTCACCCGACCAGGGAAACAGTGGGGGTTGGAAGCCGAGGATACACTTGAAAGGAGTAATTCCTGTGGCGGGTTTGACCAGTGAATTCTGGGCGTATTCAGCCCAAAACAAGTATCTACACCAATCTGCCTGTTGTTTCTGACAGTAGGAACGGAGGAAGCGGATGACGTCCTGATTCAGTCGTTCAGTTTGTCCATTGGATTGGGGATGGTAACCAGAGGTGAGACTGATGTTAATGTGGAGGTGTTTGAAGAATGCGGTCCAAACCCTGGATGTGAATTGAGGTCCTCGGTCTGAAACTATGTCTTCGGGCAGACCATAAAAGCGGAATACTTGATTACAGAGGAGTTCGGCTGTTTCGAATGCGGTAGGCAGTTTGGGTAGGGGTATGAGACGACAGGCCTTGGAAAATCGGTCAACAATGGTGAGTATGGTGGTGTGTCCTTGGGAGTTGGGCAGATCAGTGATAAAGTCAATAGCGATGTGGGACCAGGGACGTTGTGGCGTAGGCAGTGGTGTTAAGAGACCCGCAGGCAATTGTCTGAGTGATTTAGATGTGCTACAGTTGGTACAGTCCTGAACGTATTTGGTGGTGTCAGTCAACAAAGTAGGCCACCAGAAGCGATTTTGGAGTAAGTGGATGGTAGCAGTGATCCCGGGGTGACCAGAACTTGGTGTGGAGTGAACTAGCTCGAGGAGTCGGAGACGAAGAGAGTCTGGAACGAAGAGGAGACCAGTTGGGCATTCAGATGGTGTTCTTACTTGAAGGTTGGCTTGTTGGATCTCCGTGATAATGTCCCATTGTACGGGAGCTACCAGCAGGTTAGTATGAATGACATTCTCGTGATTGGGATTTTGAGCTGTTTCTTCCGTTTGACGAGAGAGAGCGTCGGCTTTGGTATTCTTGGTACCAGGTCGATAAGTCACCGTGAACTGGAATCTGGTGAAGAATAGAGCCCACCTAGCTTGCCGAGGATTCAGACGTTTGGCAGAGCGGAGATATTCAAGGTTCTTGTGGTCAGTGAGAATTGTGAAGGGTTGACTCGCTCCCTCCAGCCAGTGACGCCACTCCTCTAGTGCTAACTTCATGGCTAGTAGTTCGCGATTACCCACGTCGTAGTTACGTTCGGCCGAGGTAAGTTTTCTGGAGAAGAAAGCACAGGGGTGCATCTTGGCTGGATTGCCCTGTCGTTGGGATAGTATTGCACCTACCCCTGTGTTGGAAGCGTCTACCTCCACAATAAATGCTTGTTCTGGATCTGGATGACGGAGGATGGGTGCGGATGTGAAACGAGTCTTTAGTTCTTGGAATGCTTGATGGGCTTCGGTGGACCAGTTCAGACGAGCAGAGTGACGTTTAGTCATGGCGGTTAATGGAGCTGCGATGATGCTGAAATTTCTTATAAACCTCCTATAGAAGTTGGCGAAGCCCAAGAATCGCTGAAGTTCCTTGATAGTTCGAGGCAACGGCCAGTCCAGAACTCCCCTGACCTTCTTCTCGTCCATGGCTACCCCCTCCTGGCTGATGATGTATCCCAAGAATGATGTGCTGGTCTGATGGAACTCGCATTTCTCAGCCTTGGCGAAAAGTTGGTATTGAATTAGACGTTCCAGAACCAGCCTGACCTGTTGAATGTGTTCCTCCATGGAGTTCGAGTAGATTAAGATGTCATCGATATATACAATCAACCACTTATCCAGCATGTCCCGGAAGACGTCGTTCATGAAAGCCTGGAACACGGAAGGACTGTTAGACAGCCCGAAAGGCATAACCAAGTATTCGTAGTGCCCACTAGTGGTCGAGAAGGCGGTCTTCCACTCGTCCCCCTCTCGGATGCGGATCAGATTGTAAGCATTACGCAGATCTAACTTGGTGAAGTACTTGGCTTGACGGAGTTGTTCCAGAGCGGCAGGTACCAGGGGCAAGGGATACCTGAACTTCACAGTGTTGTCGTTCAACCCACGGTAGTCGATACAGGGTCGTAGTCCTCCGTCCTTCTTTTTCACGAAGAAGAATCCGGCCGATGCTGGTGAGGTTGAAGGTCTAATGAACCCCTTTGCTAACTCCTCCTCAATGTAGCGTTTCATGGCCTCGGATTCAGGTCGAGACAGAGGAAATATTCTTCCCCGGGGAGGAGCAGCCCCGGGGAGAAGATCAATGGCGCAGTCACTGGAGCGATGTTCTGGTAGTTGAGAGGCTTTCTCCTTACTGAAGGCTTCGAGAAGATCTGCATAGTCGAGTGGTACTTTTGATCCTTCTGGATCTGACGTGGAGGTGTCCGGACTGTGAGTGGAGATTCGAGTGACACTGGATAGACAGCGGTTTTGACAGGTGGCGTCCCATTGAGTTATCTGACCCTCCCTCCAGGAGATGTGTGGATTGTGATTCCGTAACCAGGGGAGACCAAGTATGACGGAGTGATGAGGGGATTGAATGACGTAGAATTTGATATTTTCTGAATGGAGTGATCCAACGTGAAGTTTGACGTTCTCAGTGATGCTGTGAATTCTTCCCTCTCCGAGGGGTCGACCGTCTAGCGCCTCCACTGCCAAAGAAGAATGACAAGGGTATAATTCGAATTTGCCCTGCACAGCGAATTTGTGAGAAATAAAGTTACCAGCCGCTCCTGAATCTATCAGAGCGGTGGTATTGATCACTTTATCCCGAAACACTAGACGAACTGGTATGGTTAGGCTGGATGTGTTTGAGTTGGTTCTTATGCAGTTACTCACCGATGAAGTGCTAGAAGAGGGACGAGTTGGGCAAGCGACCCTCAGGTGTCCGGATTGACCACAATACAGGCATAAACGGTTCTGCATTCTGCGTTCACGTTCCTCGGGTGTGAGGTGAGTGAACCCGATCTGCATGGGCTCGGGCACGGAGATGGCTTCCTGATGATAGCGTGGCGGGACACGAGCTGAACGTCTGGAACGGATTAAATTATCAACTTGGATGGCGAGATCGATATATTCGTTTAGGTCTCTTCCCTCATCCCGGCAGGCTAGTTCAGACTGGAGTTCGGTGGTCAGTCCCTTCCTGAAGAGAGTCTTTAAGGTATCCTCCACCCAGTTGGTTTGTGCTGCGAGTGTACGGAAAGAAAGAGCATATTCAGCCGTTGTCCCTCTTCCCTGAGTGAGAGTTAACAGTTGTTCTCCAGCACTTCCTCCTGCAGTGGGGTGTTCGAAAACATGACGAAACTGCTGAAGGAACTCACTGAAAGAGGAAAACGATGCTCCGTCTGTTCCCCAGACCGCGGTGGCCCATTCCAACGCCCGACCCGTGAGCAGCGAGCAGACGAACGCTATGCGGCTCGCATGAGTGGTATAGAGTGAGGGTTGTTGATCAACGAAGAGGGTGCATTGTAGTAAGAAACCTTTGCATTTAGTGGTGTTACCATCGAATTTCTCTGGGAAAGCAAGCCGAGGGTTGGCTGAGGCGCTCGGGATGGCTGGAGATGGTGGGACCTCTTGCTGCGGTGCGGCGGGAGCGGAAGATGCGTTTCTCATCTCTGTACGCAGTTCTTGTAACCCCCGAACTAGCTGCTCAGTGAGGGAAGTCAAATGGTTCAGTTGATGGTGATGTACCTCAAGACGTGAAGCTTGATTCGTGAGCTCCGTGGACAACTGCAGGACAGCTGCTGGATCGTTGGGTGGCGAAGTATTCTGTAATGATGGCACAGATACTGAGGAATCCATTTGCAGCTTTAATGAGAATGGTCAAACAGGCAGGGTAATCGACAGCAGACAGAAGCAGCGAAGGTAACACAGAGAAGGTCGAGGTCACAGGCAATAGTCAAGGCAGGCAGAAGTATACAAATCCAAAGGGCAATCCGGGTCGAGACAGGCAGAGAACAGTCAGAGGTCGGGGTACACAATCCAAGATCAGAACACAGAATGGCAAACTCAGAAATAAACGCTTGTTATTGAAAGACAGGGCAATACAATACTTCGCAGAGAAGTGGTGTGTGGAAGTGGCTTTTATGTGTGTGTAAATGACATGCAGGTGTGTGTGCAATCAGTATGGTGCAGGTGTGTCGCGTAATCAGTCCCAGGTAAGCGGCATGATGGGAAGTGAAGTTTCTAAGGATGGTTAATATTCCGGGGAAGGATCCCTCCGGTGGCGAAGAGGGAGTGGAGCGGAAGCCTGTTCCGTTACAGTAACTATAGGACCAAAAAAATCCAGAACTAAACACAGAGATTGAAACCGATCTTAAAGAAACAAAACTACACAGACAATACATGACACAGATGTCCTGAGTTCTACTAGGTTCTGTTTCCTAATCAGCTACACATGGAAAGACTATAATAATAATGCAAGATGAAGACCACACATCACATCAGACACATCAATGCTGCTATAGAACAGACACACAGAAGAGCTTAAATAAAGTCTGCAGTTGTGTTCTGTTTATGAAATAACACTGATTGCATCTTTTAACCACTTCGCTTGTGCCATGAATATCAGTTCTATGGGTTTGCTGGCAGCTTCAATATACTAGTTTTTTATTATTCTTTTTTTTATACATGTTATAGCCTATTTAGATACACATGCATACTTTTGCATACTATGATTTAATTGAGTGGATAGTTTAGCCAAGTCTGGTTTCACATATGATGACTTGTGTTTCATGTAGGAGGCACACTGCATCTCTGTCTTTGAGTTTCTATGAAATGAGATATTTCTCTGGCTCTTATTCCTTCACCATAATGAACATTAAGGCTGAGGTTGAAGTTTAAATCCTTGGAAATTGGTTGAAGCTATAATGTGCTACGATTGTTCAGCACCACATTGTCATTATCTGATTGGTTGTATAGACGTGGGTGTTAATTTAGTGTTAATAACAACATGAATTTGATCAGTTCTGATTTCCCTCTTGTCTCTCAGGTAGAGGAGATTCGAGGGTTCATTGACTCTCTGACAGAGAAAGTAGAAGAAGTGAAAAGAAACCACAGCACCATCCTGGCCTCTACAAACCCAGATGAGAGTAAGACCCTGTTACACACTCACAATAAAGTCTTTCATCAGCAACCTCCATAAAGTCAGAAACGCACATGGAAAAGATCACAGTCCTGTTATTCAGCTTCACCGTAACAAAACATCTATGTGTCTCGGTAAGAACTGAAGTGAAAATTTCACTCGGTTTCAGACATCACGAGTTGAATTTCTGTGTGTGTAAAAGTCTGTACAATGTTTACTCAATGTTTAGTGCATTAGTATGCGTATTTTGTTACTACATTGGTTACATAATTTCCTATATCATTCTCTTGCCTTTCTAATATTGTGACACTGTATTTAAAAGTGTCATGGCATGATAAATCAAATTTGTCTTTGTCTTTGTACTATTCAAATATTCTGCAAGTTTCATAGCTTAAAACGTCCTCCTTGTTATAAACAGATGTCACATTGGGGAAACATATTTGCATATGCCCGCCTCCAGAGCAAGACATCGACCAATAGTTATACGTCATCACACCATAGACACCGTCCACTGGCATTCAGTCTCTTATCGGCTGAGATTTGCCTACACTGGATGTGAGCTTTGTTTCAAAAGCAAATAGAAGCCATTATAATCACTGAATGCGCATCTACACTCACCTAAAGGATTATTAGGAACACCATACTAATACTGTGTTTGACCCCCTTTCGCCTTCAGAACTGCCTTAATTCTACGTGGCATTGATTCAACAAGGTGCTGAAAGCATTCTTTAGAAATGTTGGCCCATATTGATAGGATAGCATCTTGCAGTTGATGGAGATTTGTGGGATGCACATCCAGGGCACGAAGCTCCCGTTCCACCACATCCCAAAGATGCTCTATTGGGTTGAGATCTGGTGACTGTGGGGGCCATTTTAGTACAGTGAACTCATTGTCATGTTCAAGAAACCAATTTGAAATGATTCAAGCTTTGTGACATGGTGCATTATCCTGCTGGAAGTAGCCATCAGAGGATGGGTACATGGTGGCCATAAAGGGATGGACATGGTCAGAAACAATGCTCAGGTAGGCCGTGGCATTTAAACGATGCCCAATTGGCACTAAGGGGCCTAAAGTGTGCCAAGAAAACATCCCCCACACCATTACACCACCACCACCAGCCTGCACAGTGGTAACAAGGCATGATGGATCCATGTTCTCATTCTGTTTACGCCAAATTCTGACTCTACCATCTGAATGTCTCAACAGAAATCGAGACTAGGCTTGCCGTGATAGACGGTGTTGACGGTGTTACCGGTTTTAAGCCCCATCACCGGTGACATCACTTTCCCACCGTGACACCGCGATGTCTTGACTTTTTTAAAGTATTCGTTTTTGCTAAAATATTTATTTGAATTAATTAAAAATAATAATTATCAATTATTTAGTTCAGAAGAGAGCATACATTATAATTAAAAACTGAACTGCGCAGTGCGTGCCAAGAGCCAGTCACGTCACAGATCAGCAAGCATCAGGAGTCAAATTCCATTTAGCACGTGTGGAGATGAGAACGAGTCAAATTACAGAAAAGCAAGATAATGGCGGAAGATTTGGTGTCAAAACGCAATGCAAAAGCGCCTGTTTGGCAATATTTTGGGTTCAAACTAAATTCAAAAATGGAACCTGAAAACGTTAATGAGCCAATCTGCAAACTTTTTCGTGGCAAAGGTTGCAGCATCTGGAGGAAACACAAGTAATTTATACACGCACCTTCAAGCGCACCACAAGAATGAGGCTGCCAATATGGGCACTGCAGTAAAACATTGACCGCAGAAGCCAGACACACTGGTACAACAATCAATTAGTACTGCGTTTGCGCGATGCACCAAATATAAGAGGGACAGTGTGAGGTGGAACAAATGCACTGATGCAGTGACCAAGTATATCTGCAAAGAAATGGTGTCTTTCTACACGGTTGAAAAACAATCTTTCAAAGACCTCATAACAACACTCGACAGCCAGTATGAATTGCCCGGGCGTTCATATTTCTCTAACACCGCTATCCCACGTGCCTACAACCGTGTCCGTGGTGAGCTGCAACAGGCTGTTTCAGCAGTTGATTATTTTTCACTCACAACAGACATGTGGTCCAGCACAAAAATGACACCTTACATGTCACTGACTTTCCATTTCATTGACACGGAATGGACACTGGTGTCAAAATGTCTCCAAACAAGTTTTTTGCCCGAGGACCACACTGCTGCTAACTTGGCTGATGCTTTGCAGGAGGCTCTCCATGACTGGGGATTAAAAGAGGATAACGTGTCTTGTGTCACGACAGACAGTGGAAGCAATATTAAAGCGGCTGTTCGTAATTTAGGCTGGCCGTGGTTAAACTGTTTTGGGCACAACTTGAACCTAGCTGTGTCCAACACTATTGAGAAGACGGAGAAAGCCCGCACAGACCGCGCCCTCGCAGTTTGTCGCACCATAAACGGCTTCTTCTCTCACAGCTGGAAAAGGAGAAGGGAGCTGAAGAAAGCCCAAGTCCAGCTTGGCCTCCCAGAGCACTCACTCGTGACGGTAAGTTTATTCTTAGTTCTTATAAAAAAGCCTTTAGTATAGTAAATAAAGTATAAAATTATAAAACACTAAAAGCTAGTTTACTTTAAATATATTCGGCAGAAAACCATTAGGCTTTGTTGAACAGTTTAAGAGAGTTTTTTTTTTTCGTTATTGAGGCTATGTATAAATGATTTATAATAAATCCTAAATAAAGTAAATGTTTGATGCAGTTTTACTTTGTTCTGGGCTATATAATTTAGACTTTAATAGTCTACCACATCTTTTTTTATTTGTCATTGATAATAATAATAATAATAATTGGATTTATTTTCTCATTGAGGACTGTGCAACTCGCTGGGGCCCCAAGCAAAAAATGATTGATAGGATGCTAGAGCAGAGGACGGCCATCAATCGAGTTCTAGCTGATGACCATAAAGTCAATGTGAGCATCACATGGCAAGACGAGGATGTGTTGCAATCGTTGAACAAAGCGTTAAAGCCAGTGAGCGAGTTTACAGACGTTCTGTCCGGAGAGAATTATGTAACCGCGTCATCTCTTCTACCTGTGCTGCGTCTCATTAAAGAGGACACATTGGCCCCATCGGATGAGGATGGACATCTGACAGCCAACCTGAAAGCCGGCATCATGTCTATTTTAGACGATAAATATAAAGCTCTGCCAGAAGCAAGCCTGCAGCTTATTCGCAAGACAACATTCCTGGACCCGTGCTACCGGGGTGACTACGACCCGAATGTTGAAGAGACCAAGAAAATGATAGAGGATGAAGCGGTCATCCTCGGTAGGAGAGCGCAGTCAACGCACCCCGTGAGAGGAGAGGGAGAACAAAACGAGGAAGCCGACGTCGAGCCGCAGCCCAAAAGAAAAAAAACTCTGGCAAGTTTACTAAAAAGAAAAGCAGGCACTGCGACAGTAAATCTGACTATTCCAGAAAAGGTGCTGACAGAAATCGCCACCTATGCTCAGGAGTCCCCCATTCATGCAGAGCAGGATCCTCTGGCCTGGTGGAAAGAGAACCAAAGTAGGTTACCCCTGTTGGCAAAGATAGCCAAAAAGTATCTTTGCGTGTGTGCAACAAGCTGTGCATCTGAGAGGGTGTTCAGCATGATGGGGAACATAGTCACCCCCAAAAGATCCCATTTTAAGCCAGAGATGGTCAACATGCTCGGTTTTCTGGCAAAGAACATGTAGACTCAGTCTACATGTTCTTGACTGCAAGACTGTCTTTGTCATGAAGTCTGTCTTTGTCTCAACTGTCATGTTCTTTGACTCTACTAGACTGCAAGCAATGTTAATAAATGCCAATTTATAGTGTTTTACTTTTTTGTGCTGTCATTTATGTAGGCTAAGGTCCTTTTTGAAGTTTTTATGTTATATTCGTCTCTTATTTATTTGGTTTTATCTTATTTAAACTTTGTGTAATTTATTTAGGCCTATTTTATTTTCTTATTCGTTAATAAACGTTTTATGGTTCTTATTTGTTTGGGCCCACAGTTTGCCGATTTTCACTTTTTTCAGCCTATGCATGGGGTTATTTTTATTCGTTCGTTATGCTAATAAAAGTTCTGTCTATAAATAAAAGTTTTATTATCAGCGAGTTTTTTTTTCTTCTGTCCATTCAAGCAATTGACGCTGAATTGCCAATTGACGCTTATTTCGAAAGTGAAAGTATAACGCTCACGCATTTAAAAGCTATTAAACACCCCTGTTGTTAACATAACGTTAACAAAAAAAATCTAACTTTACCTAAATGTAGCATGTTCACACCTCTAAAATGTGCATTGCTCCAGGACCAGGGTTGGGAACCACTGCTCTATAGCCACAACTGCACCAAGACACTCTCTGTGCAAGCACATGTGGTCCAACTGTAGACGTCACACTGAGTTCTTGTCTGGCTGGGTTGTGCTCTTGTGACTGACACACTAAATGCCAGTGTTCTCCTACAATCACAGCAGGGCTACTCTGTTCTTTAATTTACCCAGAGTAAATGACTGTACTCTGTACTGACTCAGGAAGTATTGATGGATAGCATAGCACTTCAGTCTCACACTCGTTTCACAGAAGCAGGAAAGTTGTATACATCTCAGAAGGCATGAGGGTAAATGTAAAAGATGCATAAATTATGAGAACATTTCTGGGTGTACTGTATTTTCTTTTAATACATTATACAGAATAACAAGAGACACAGGATTTCTTCTTAAGATTCATCAGTGGAAAGAATGAAAAAAAAGAGGAACAAAAGGAGGAAGAAGCCAAGCAAGAGAAAAAAAGGACGAAACGTGGTTTCTGTCAAGACTTAAGCATTTGAAATGAAATGTTGATTTAAAGCTGCATTCCGTAAGTTTTTTGGGTTAAAAATTATCCAAAATATTTTTTTGAGCAAGTACATAACCAGCCAGTATTCAACACTATCTGCTTGCCTTAGATCGATTCAAAACGGTAAGCTTGTAATAATGTTTTTAATTCCTGTGGTACTGGTGGATTT